GGAAGCCTGCTTCTCCCTCTCCCACTCCCCCTGCTTGTGTTCCCTCTCTCGCTGTGTCTCTCTCTGTCAAATAAATAAATAAAAATAAAATAAAAATAAATACCCCGGATATTTCTTTCTTCCCTAGATATTGGCTAATGTTGGTATATAAGGTTATTGTGGAATTGAATGTTAATTTTTTTTTCATTGTGGGGAAATCAGGAAAGTTCTAGAAAAGGACTTCAGATGACACATTTTAGGTAATAATTAGGGAAGATTCTAGAAACCCTAAGTAGGTGAAATTTAGTATGTTTTAGGTTGGCAGTCAGCATGGACACGTTCAAAGGGTTGAGATTTCTTAATTTTCCAGAGAATGAGGGAAGGGGTGGCCAGTGGAACAAAAATGCTCTTCAGGGGATGCAGCAGATCTTAGTGTTTAAGGCTTGGAGTTTTACATTTTCATCTTAATTCTACCACTTAGCAGATCTGTGACCCTGGGCCAATTATTTAACTTCTTAAGTGTCCGTTCCTTCACTCCTGCATTAACTAGGGTACTAATCTGCTGAGATGATGGATGTCGAGCACCTAGTCCAGGGTCCTGCATACAGAATTGTTTTTCTTGTTTTCAAGTTAAATATTAAATATTAAAATGAATATTCGTGTTAGAAATCCTGGAGAATGGTGGGAAGCAAAAACTAGCAAATGCAAATTAAATGCTCTTATTTAGGTTAACTCTTGATTTCTTTCCTTCTCTTTCTTCCTGCTTTCTTACTGGTGGGGTTGCCAGACAAGTTATAGAATGCTCTTAGCTCTTAACTTTTTAATTATTCTATAGTGTCTCCCTGTATTTTAGTGCTCCTTAAGCAGAACAACTCTTAATATTATGCAGAACTTAAGCTGGGCTCTTGCCCTTCTGATCTCAGTAGAATGCCCTGACTCACGTAATCTCCAAGACAGTCAATTCTGCTCTCCTGGGCCAGGCTCTACTCCCCTTAAAATATTTCTGACCTTCCCAAGAAGGTCACACCTCCGGTGCTTATACTGACAATTACGAGTGGTTGAGTACTGCCCAAAGTAATTACTTGCTTATGTTTCCCCCAGAGGTTAAAAATACCGACGGATAATTCTTGTTAATTATGCCTAAATGTGTTGGGTGGTATCTGGGGGCAGGAGTCATATGAACCTTTTTGGGAGTGTGGTGTATTCTTATTTTTGAAAGAAATTCCTCCTGACCTGGTCTGTGACATTAACCGTGACTGCGCCAACACCTTCATCAAGTTTTTACTGGAGAAACAGAAATGGCCGGAAGTGCTTCTGTTGCTGACCCGCAAAGTAAGCGGGGAGCCACCGCTGGGAGACTGCCTCATCAAGGGCTGCAACTTCTCAGACCTTGACCTCTGCGCTGTCATCCCCCGCCTCAGCGCCTGGGACCCTCGGAGGATGCAGCTCCTGGGCTGCCTCATCGACAGTGGAGGTGAGAATGCTCATGATGGACACTGGGGACTTGTCCCTTGGGACACCACTGGTACCGGGTCTTTCACTTGACTTTGGAGACTCCTTTAAATTCTGGCCCATTCTCTTCCTCCATAGCTTCTCATTTTGCAACAGCGACCAGGTTAATGCCGTTAGTGGGTGCTGGCCTTGTAGGAACTCTGCGTCTTTGTGAACTCTAGTCACCTCTGTTGTCTTTTCTTCTGCCTTGTGTGAGAGACCTCAGGTGTGTGCAGGGGGGCCCTTGGCCCCGGGTGTGGCGCACAGGGTCCTTTCCTCACGACTGCCGGCTGGACTTTTCCCTGCAACCAGTATGCTGCGTGAGTCCCTGTCAGCTCTCCAGCATTCTTTTCTAATCGGTGGATTAGGATTTGAGATGCTTCTTTGTAAAGAAACAGCCGAATAATTGGTGGGTGGATACATCTACTGCTGTAATCAGTGCAATCACACTTGGCTGGATGTATGTCTGGAGAGAGCCAGCATCTTGCTGGATTGCGTTTTTTTTTTAATTTATTTTGTAAAGATTTAATTTATTTATTTGAGAGAGACCGAGAGCATGAGAGGAGGGAAGAGCAGAGGGAGAGGGAGAAGCAGACTCCAGCAGGGGAGCCCAGTGTGGCACTCGATCCCAGGATCGCGAGGTCATGGCCTGAGCCAAAGGCAGACGCTTAACTGACTGAGCCACCCAGGTGCTCTGGATTGGGTTTTATTTTAAAACTGAGTTGGAAACACCAGCCTCCTCCTGCCCCTAATTCCCACCCTCCTACTAATGCCACTACTGGTTGGGTGGCCTTGGGCATGCTCTATCTGCCTCCATGTCCTCGTTTATAAAATGGGAACGTTAACAGTCCTCTTTCTCAGGGCTGTTTTGAATGTTAAATGAGCTCACGCATGCAGGTTCTTGGAAGAGCACTGCGGCCGTGTGGTTTTCTGCTTGCTCGGCTGTTTAAGAGGGAATGTCCTTTATTGGTCCTTTGCTCTCAAAGCGCCATACAAAGCCTTTGGGCACTGGCTGTTCCCCACAGGTTCCAAGAGGTCGATGGAATGCCTCCTATAGTTTATTTCTTCAAAACCATTCCTCGAGTGGAATGTTACTACCTTTGCCTGGAAACTGCGGCGGTCATGGGCTTCCTGTTTTATTCCTGAGTCAGCCAGTGCTTACGAAGCGCCTCCCTGGAATTGGTTGCTGGGGACCAGGGACAAAGTGAAAGTGTGGCTGCTGCGTGGGGGTGTGTGGATCGCAGGGGTGCAGGTCAGGGAGACTGCGGTACAGAGGGGAGGCGTGGACTGAGCTAAAGGGAAGCTGATGTTGGGGGTGGAGAGGTGTCAGGGAAGATGCCATTTGAGGGTAGATGGGCATCCTCAGGAAGAAGCGTCATAGAAGCAACGGACGTAGGAAGCCATGCTCATATCCCCATCACCGACTATGTATCAGGTAGGGTGTTAGGCAGCCACTGGGGTTTCCGTTGTTCCGGGCCCCGTCCACACTCCCGGGCAGGGCTGAAGACGGGGCCCTGGGACACGAAGGGGAGCAGGAGAGTGGGGAGAGGCACGGCCCATGAATGGGACACCGGAAGGAGTTGGGCTTTCACTCTGAGGGCTCTGGGAAGCCTTCGCCTCAGAAGTCGGGTCAGCATCAGCTCTTCCCTTGGAGTATAAGGCAGACGTGGTTCCCTCCTCCTCAGGTGAGCCAGGTGGTCACTTGGCACAGGGTACATCCCTCATGGGGATGCGCCTTTCTCCTCTGCCTCCTCAGCCTTGCCCGAGGGTCTCCACGACAGCCAGGAGACGCCGCTTGTCATGTGCCTGAAACATGAGGACTTCGAGCTGGCGTTTCTTCTCTTGACCAAGGGTGCAGACCCCCGCAGTATCTCCCTCACGGAAGGGGATACTCCTTTGCATGCAGCACTCCACATCTTTTTAGACATCAAAGGTAGGCCTTTATTTTTTAAGCAGTCTTTTCTTTGAAGAGGAAGCTGGATATTAGAACTGATGCTATGCTTTTTCATCTTTCCTATTGGGAAAACCAACGATCTGAAAAAGGACTGTTTCTTGGTCAGGCCCACCCATTATCTCCTGGCCCCTCACCCACAGCTGGATGAGAAGGAGCAACCATCATGGTGAATGGTCAGCGTGGGTTGATTGAGGAGGATTCTTAAGTTTCAAAGTTGGCTGTCCTCCAGATGTGGCCAGATATCCCTTGGGAGCAAACTGTCCCTGGTTTTCAACCACTGGCTTACCAAGTGCTTAGGGAGGTGTGGCGTTCTGAGATGCCCCTGGCTGGCATTTCTCCAGATCCAGGGGTCTCTATTCCCTGGGAAGAGCGGCTCAGCACTCAAAGTGTTTTGTTTATGTCTTTCAGCTGACATCGGTTTTAACTTCCTCAGCTACCTGTTGGATCTCTTCTGGTCCAACCCCACTGAATTTTGCTACCTCAACCCCAACAGCCAGGACAGCAATGGGAACACGCTGATGCACATCATCTTCCAGAAGGGCATGCTGAAGCGCATGAAGAAGCTGATAGACCTGCTGGTGAAGTTTGACATCAACTTGAACTTGAAGAACAAAGAAGGCAAAGACGCGAGGCACCGGATTAAGAAGAACGATGCTCTGCTCTTGGCCTGGAACAAAGCTGTGATGGAGAACAAGCGGAGGAACCGGCAGGACTCTGCTGCCCACCCGGGGAAGCTCCCGAGGCCCACTGCCTCTGGTCACATGTCTCAGCTCAAGTCCCAGGGTTCATCCAAGTCACTGCCGTGCAGCGTCCCTGCCAGGACCCTGCCCGAAGGAACCATGGTTCCTGACAGCTGGGAGACTCTCCCGGATGCCCAGGCGATGAGGCAGGAGGAGCCTGGAGCTGTCAGGCCCTGCTCTCTGAGAGACCGCCTGGTGCAGGACATCATGGGTTTAATTCAGCAGGTTGAATTGAATACGTCCCTCTCTGAGGACTGTCCTCAGGACTCTGAGCCTCTGGAGACAGGCGTTGGTACAGAAGTAAAGAAGGACGAGCTCCAGCGAGCCCTGGGGCCTCAAGGCTCTGACTCCAGTGGGAACAACAACAGCGTCCTTGAGGCAGGGGATGGATGTGCTCAGGCAGGCCTCGTGGCCTCACAGCTCATTCCTGCTGGCCACAGAGGGAGTGAGGGCAGCGATGATCCGGACAGCTGGAACACGCAGGACATCGAGGCCTGCCTCCAGGACTTCGAGAACATGACGTGGGAGATCGAGTGCACTTCGGAAATGCTGAAAAAGCTGTCCAGTAAGGTCATGACGAAGGTCATGAAGAAGAAAATCATCTTAGCTATCCAGCAGCTGGGGAATGGCGAGTGGACGCAGGGCCTGCAGAAGCGGCTGAAGCACCTGAAGGGACGCATCCAGCTCTTCGAGGCCAAGCTGGACAAGGGGGCCCGAATGCTGTGGGAGCTGGCCATTGACTTCTCCCCTCGATGCAGTGAGAACCCAGAGAAGATCATCGCTGCCACAGAGCGGAACCTGCACAGCCCAGAGAAGTCGGGTCGGGTCTACACAGAAATCATTCGGATCTGGGACATCGTCTTGGACCACTGCAAGCTGTCAGACTCCATCAGCGCCATCTGTAGTGCCTACAACCGGGGCCAGTCCTGTGTCCTGCGGAAGAAGCTGAAGGGCATCCATCAAGGCCAGATGTCAGCCAACGTGAAGGTCCAAAAGCGCATACCCCGCTTCTACGTGGAGGACACGGAGGCCGAGAAGAGCTGGGAGCACGTGAACCCCGAGTATTTCCCACCGGCCAGCGCGGTGGAGACGGAGTATAACATCATGAAGTTCCACAGCTTTAGCAACAGCATGGCCTCCAACATCCTCAACGACACAACAGCGACGGTGGAGTACCCCTTCAGGGTGGGTGAGCTGGAGTATGCCGTGATCGACCTCAACCCCAGGCCACTGGAGCCCATCATCCTCATTGGGCGGAGCGGCACTGGGAAGACAACTTGCTGCTTGTATAGGCTGTGGAAGAAATTCCACATTTACTGGGAGAAGGCTGAGAAGGCAGGAAGCCCGCTGCTGACCAAGCAGTTGTGGATGAAGAGAAGGTTGGAAGTGGAACCCGGAAAGGAAGGTCCCCGGACGGAGGAAGAGGACAAGGAGGAGGAAGAGGACAAGGAGGAAGAGGAAGGTTCCATGGAAGCAGAAACAACGGACAGCATAGATGAGGAGCAGGATAGCGAAGCCTGTGCAGGGGGATCCAGTGGGGAGCCGGGGGAGCCAGGCCAGGCGGTGGAAGTGTGCACCACAGAGCATCCCCACCAGCTGGAGCATTTACATCAGATCTTCGTGACCAAGAACCATGTCCTGTGCCAGGAGGTGCAGAGGAATTTCACTGAGCTTTCCAAGTCTACCAAGGCCACCAGTCACTACAAACCACTGGAACCCAATGTCCACAAACTTCAGGACTTAAGGGACGAGAACTTTCCTCTCTTTGTCACTTCCAAGCAGCTGCTTCTCCTGCTTGATGCTTCTCTGCCCAAACCATTTTTTCTGAGAAATGAAGATGGCAGCTTGAAAAGAGCCATCGTGGGATGGTCCAACCAGGAAGAGTTGACCATCCCCAATTGGCAAGAGGATGAGGAGGAGGCCGAGGCAGATGGGGACAATGGCGAGGAGGATAAAGCTGCAGAAACACGTATGTGTGACAGTGACCCCCGGGTGTATGTGACATTTGAGGTGTTCACCAATGAAATATGGCCCAAAATGATCAAAGGGAAAACCTCCTACAACCCCGCACTGATTTGGAAAGAAATAAAATCTTTTCTGAAGGGGTCTTTTGAGGCCCTCAGCTGCCCCCAGGGGAGGCTCACAGAAGAAGCGTATAAGAAATTAGGGAGGAAGCGGTCCCCCAATTTCAAGGAAGACCGGAGCGAGATCTACAGTCTCTTCTGCCTGTACCAGCAGATCAGGTCTCAGAAAGGTTATTTTGACGAAGAAGATGTTCTGTATAACCTGTCCCGGAGGCTGTCGAAGCTCAAGGTGCTCCCGTGGTCCATCCATGAGCTCTATGGCGATGAGATTCAGGACTTCACCCAAGCCGAGCTGACACTGCTGATGAAATGCATCAATGACCCCAACGCCATGTTCCTCACGGGGGACACGGCCCAGAGCATCATGAAGGGCGTGGCCTTCCGCTTCAGTGACCTGCGCTCTCTGTTCCACTATGCCAGTAGAAACACCGTGGACAAGCAGTGTGCAGTCCGGAAGCCCAAGAAGATCCACCAGCTGTACCAGAATTACAGGTCCCATTCGGGTATGTCTGGCCTTTGTGCTTGCCTGCAGGGGAGGTGGTTGGGCGTCATCTTGCACTGCTTTGGTTAGGCTTTTGTAGCTGAAGTAAGGAGAGTATGTTGGAGTTTGTTGGGAAATGCACCCATGCACAAGAAGTCTTATGGTTTCTGCCGCTCGTCATTCGTAGATTGGTAATTCAAGCTGTGGTTGAATGGAAATTACATTTTAGGGACCTTGCCATGACATGAAAACATTACAGGGGGACATTTAAACTGCTTTTGTTAAAGTACTTTGGAAGCACATTCTTGGGCCAGTTATAAGTCATTAATTCCCAAAGCGGCTTTTCTCCCGAGGAGAAGCCAAAAAAGAGGCCTAGGGGGTGGTGGGAGATAGCACACACTCAGATGCTTTTAACTTGAACCTCAGTTGTGCCCCTTCTCTGGGCCAGGCGTGATGCTAGGCAGCCGATGTAGACCACCCCTACTTCATCCTCACAACGACCCTGCCAGGTAGGCAGCCTTCCCATTTTACGAAGGACACCGAGGCACGCAGGGTTTGAAAAACACAACATCCATGCCAGAATCCCTCCTTTAGGTTTATAAAATGCTCACACAGTTCACCTCCTGTGTCCTGCGTGTCCATGAACAATATAGAGTATCATTTTACTTTATTTAATGGGATTGTGCCAGACATATCTTTCTGCCACTTTGTATTTCTGCTTCATGTTACATTTTGGGATTCTGCATATTGATGATGCGGAGCTCTAGACCCTGCATTTCTAACTAGTGTTAGCATTCCATTTTAGGGCTGTACCACCGTTTGTTACTCATTTTCCAGTAATGGACATTAGGCTCCTGGCAGTTTTTCACTGTGACATACAGTCCTGGAGCGAACCTTCCTGAGCTTCTCTCTGGATCTATGTTATATCCTCTTGCTTTACTCTTGGAATGGGTGTGAAAGGACATCTGGTATAGTTTGAATTTCCATTTTCTTGAGACGTGGCGTCTTTTCGTGTGTTTACCGGCGATTCTGTATTCTGTGAATTGCCTGTTCTCCTTTGTCTATCCTTTTAATGAGTTGTTTTTCTTACTGATTTGTTAAGAATTCTCTATGAATTTTTGCCTTTGCATCCTTTGTTGATTATAAAAATTGCAGAGCTTATCTTTTTAACTTTGTTACAGTAAAGGGGCATATGAGTGATGGTGTTCTTTAGTAGGAAGATACTTTAAAATTTTAACTTATGAATGTTTTCTTTTACGATTTGCTCTTTGGTGTCTTAAGAAATTTTTCTGATCTGGAGTTAGTAAGATATTCTCCTGTATAATTTTCCAATGGTTTTAAATTTTGCTTTTTGTATGTAGGCAGGTATTGGGTAATTTGGGTAAATTTAAGTAACTAAATTTAGTCTATCTAAAATGTACATGTGGTGTGACACTGTCTTTATTGAACTAACCCTTCTCTGATCTAATTTTACTTTTTACCATATGGAGAATCTGTGCTGACGCCATTCACTGCTTGGTGCATCCTTGCCTCTGATTTGTAAGGCTGCTCTTCTTGTGTATCTGGGACTCTGTTTCTGGGCTGTTTTCTTTGATTTGTCTCATTTGTCTGTCTTGTACTGTTAGCATGATATCACATTTGCCATAGTTATCAGATTATCAGAATTTATTGCTCTTTGGGAAGAATTCACATCTTTACCTCATCGGGATTTCTGAACCATGACCTGGGCGTTTTTCTCTTTTCAGGTCTTCTTTTAGTGCCTGAAATAATATTTTATAATTTTCCCCAGACATTTTACACAGCTGTTAGATTTATCCTAGGGATCTTATACTTTTTGTTACTATCACGGCTGCCTCTTTTTCTTTTCTTTTTTTTTTTTACATTTTCTATCAGTTATTACTGGTATAGAGGAATGCTGTTGGTTTTTATATGTTGATCTGGTCAATCTAACAATCATACTGAACATTCTAACTTCTAGATTTTGGCATTTTTCTGCAGGTAAGGGCAGTCTTTATCTTCTTTTCTATATTTATCATTCATTTTTTCCTGCTATATTTCATTGGCTAGGGCCTTAAGCAGAAGCTTTAACAGGCATCTGTGTGTTATTTCTGAAGTTAATGGGAATATTTTTAATATTTTACCATTTAAGTCTGATGTTTATTGTAGGGTTTGATAGATGCTCTTTTTCTAGATGCAGCTCAGGTAGGCTGTGGTTTGGTGGAAAGAGAAAATACATGCATACCACACACACACACACACACACACACACACACACACACACACGTTGTAAAATGAGATTAAAATTCTGATTTATTTAGCCAAGGAGTCAGAAAATGATTAGAAGGCAGGTGGCCTCCTAGAGTGTAGCTGCACCACACAAACTCAGCCCAGCTTGCCAGGGCTCTGGAAGTCCTCCCTGAGGTCGCATTTGAAAAAAAAATCACAGGAGCTGGCTGGGTCTGAGCAGTTCAACTTCTTGTTCTTCTGTGGTCTTATACCTGGGACTCAGATTGTGTAGTAATTTATTCTCTTAATAGGAAATGGAGCCCTGGCCCTCGTTCTTCTGTTCAGGAGACATTTCCTGAGTTCCTCCCCTGCTTGGCACTGTGTGTGGTACAGAATTCTTTCTGTCCTCAGGAAGTGGCTCCAGTTTTCTGTTGTTGGACCCAGTAGAAGGATCTGGCATGAGTGGTTGAATGAGCCCCTCATTCTGATTGACCCTCTGGTTCAGTGCCACTGGTCTGGGGCCAGCAACCTTTCTGATTGGCAAAACAGAGCATGGCCGAAGGGCTGTTCCTGGGAGCGATTTTGATGTTTCTGCTAAGTAAGCCGTTAGGACAGTGGCTACATAAACCCCATGTTGGAACGGAGGGAAGATTGTGTGTATATGTTTCTGTGTATAGAGCCAGAAAAAGCCCCAGTCATATGTACTAGATTTTAGGGACTTTATAAAGCACGTAAAATGTTAAAAAAAAATCACAAGCAACCTGTAAGTCCACTCACTGCAGACGTTTTGTTTCATTTCCTTTTGATCTTTTTTCCTTATAGACATTAAATGCATGTATCATACACACTGTAGTTATTGATCATGTAGTGAATATATACTGTTTAGTGAATATTTTCCCTTATGTTTTTTTTAAAAATGGAGATTCACGTAGCGTAACATTCACCCACTTAAAATATACAGTGTAGTGGTTTTAATATATTCACAAGGCTGTGCATCCATTACCACTACCTGATTCCAGAACATTTTCATCACCCCAAAAAGAAACCCTATACCATTAGCAGTCACTCCTTATTCTCCCTCACCCCCGCCCCTCTGGGAACCACTAATCTACTTTCTGTCTCTATGGATTTGCCTATTCTGGACATTTCATGTAATAGGAATCATACAATATGTGGCCTTTTGTGTCTGGCTAAGTTATTAGCATAATGTTTTCAAGGTTCCACCATGGTGTAGGATGTGTCAGAGTTTCATTCCTTTTTATGGTGGAACCATCTTTTATTCTTTGCGTAGGCTCATCTAAAAATTATCTAGTTTCTCTAAAGGGGCATTTCAGTGGATTCCCATTTATCACTGCAATCAACACTTCTGTGCCCTTTTCTGATTATCCCATTAATGTACATCTCTGGCCTTTGCTAGCTTTTAAAGAGGAGGGAACCCCAGTAGCAGCTGATTTGCTTAGATTCGGCAGTTTCCACTTGTGCTCCCGACTGTATACATCTAATACTATTACTACTGGGAAGTAAAATTTCTCCTTATTATTTGGTAATAGCAGTGGGGACATGTTTGCCCATTTCATGGTGTTCTACCAAGAACACGGTATTCTATCTGCAGTCAGGCAAAGGGCACGTGGCACAAAGTGAACCATGGAGAAGACCCAGGATGATCTGTGTTCAACTCAGCTTCAAATCCTGTCACGTGGAGGTTTTTACTAACTTCTTAGACCTTGGAGTCTCTGCTTGTAAGGGTGGGATTGTCTGGTCTATGTCACTGGGCAGTCCTAACGATTAAATGGGATATTTTTATGAAGGTGCCTGTCTTGTGGTAGTGTTCATTCATCTTGACTGGCAACGTTACTCAGAGCTTAGATAAGCAAGGGGACCCAGGGAGAAAGCTCTTCACAAAAGCCTTTCTCCAGTTCTACCTTTTTTCTTAGAATAGTCCTCTCGGCTGGGTATAAACCTGGTGGGGAGGGGATGGAGGCCTTGGTTGCTGCCCCCACCTAACATTCAGCCCTGCTGTTACCATGACAACGTCTCTACGGCTCCAAGCTCCAGTGAGAGGGTCCGAATAATTTTTGTTCCCTTACCATCCATGCCAGCCGCTTATATTAGCTTTCTAACAGCTCTAATTGTTTATATTTCTGCCTTGATTTTTCTTTATGAGGTAATTTTTTCTAATATAAGTATAGGTCAGGAACGAGATCCAACAGAACCTTCTTAGCAACGCATCTCTGCCTTCATCCCCTGTACTGGGAGTAATATCACGCAGGGGCAAAGTGATAATCTAATGGGAACTAGAAACTGACTTGCAATTATCCATACTATCAGGACCAATATTGCTTCTCAAGAAAAAAAGCCAAAGCCCAAATAAAAAAACCAAACAAAGCACAAAAGCACACACACACAAAAAAAACAAAAACCCCATAGCCATGTTGTTGTCGCGTTGCTCCATATCTGACATGTGTTTTCTGTTTTACCTCAGGGATCCTCAATCTGGCATCTGGGGTGGTGGATTTACTTCAGTTCTATTTCCCGGAATCTTTTGATCGCCTTCCCAGGGATTCTGGCCTCTTTGGTGGTCCCAGACCAACTGTCCTGGAGTCTTGTAGTGTGAGCGACTTGGCAATTTTGCTACGAGGGAACAAAAGGAAAACCCAGCCTATTGAATTCGGAGCCCACCAGGTGAGCTTCTTGGGATTGCATGTCGTGAAAATCAAAGGCAGTTTGCAGTTGGAAAAGGTTTGGGAGGCCGAATTATTCCACAGCATAGAGTTCAATAGCTCCTCTGCCAGAATAGGTCAATTTCGGATCTGGGTGAGGGAGCAATTGTTAATATTTCAGCTAGCCTGGTTGACCAAATCCAGGCCGGCCACTGCTTTTTAAAGATGTTACCTGCCTCCCACAGAAATGGACTGAGCTTTGCAAGATCCCTCTTTGTAGAATTTGATGTTTTCTCTTTCCTACCTCCTTCTTCTTTCCTTCTCCCCCAGGTAATCCTTGTAGCTAATGAAATGGCAAAGGAGAAAATTCCAGAAGAACTGGGGTTAGCCCTTGTGCTAACCGTGTATGAAGCGAAAGGTTTAGAATTTGACGATGTCCTCCTTTACAACTTTTTTACTGACTCTGAGGTATGTTATGCTGAATTCTTTTCACGCTGTGCATGCATATATGTATGAGCTACACTTCCTCTCTGGGAGAGAGAACATGGAGCTGAGTAGAAGTGAGTTTCTCACAGGTACCTCTTTCTGTTCTGGAGCATCATCCATTCGGTGTGGGCTTTGTGTGCTTGGATATGGGTTTTGTCGATGGCTGTGGGTGGTTTTCCAGTGTGTCATGGGCTGGTTCTCCCGTGCCCTGCCCTGCTCTCTCTTTCTTCTGAATGCCTGGTACCCGAGAGCCAGCTTCCAGTGTTCACTAGCTCTGTTATCCTTGACTCCCAAGGATGCTCCAGTTGGAGTGAGCTCTCAGGAGAGCCTTACAAATAAAGGCAAGGTTAGCAGTGTCCGCCCTATGAGGACAGAACTGGGCAAGTTCAGTTCATAGAAAGAGAAAACTCCGGGAAGACAAATGAGGCCTGGTTCCTGGCCACTGGATCAGGTAATGTGGGGGGTGAGGAGAGCTGCCCCGCCTGGGAGCTCCCTTCTGGCATGGCTTCCCCACTGCTTGCAGCCCATGCAGACCATGGCAGTGAAAGAGTCCCTGGATCGACCCCCAGGACCTCCGTGCCAGGCCACCGCTTTGACTTGGTTCCCGAGTCCAAGACCTTGGGATGGTCTTTCTTCCTGAGCTCAGTGCATTATGGGTAGAGTCACCAACTCGAGCCACTGGTTTCTTTTTCACCACTGTCTTTTGGTGGGGGCTCAGGCTGGCTGCTGACTGCTGGGGGGTCTCCTCTGGGCACTTAGCTGGCTGTGTCCTGGTCCCTGTTGCAGACTTCCCACTGCACATGGTGCATGCTTGAAGGGGCTCTTGTACTGTTAGCTTTGACACCTTAAAATCTGCCCCAGAACTGACTGTTTCAAATGGAGTCCTGAATTTTTTTTTTCTGATCTTTTAGAAAATAGGATTGCCTTGATGATAGCTCTGACTACTATTGCTATGGGTACTTCATGGTTTATAAAGTCCTTTTTCAATGCTTTGTTTCCCTTCATCCTCCACTAACCCTCTGAGGTTGTATATATTCTCATTACCCTCATTCTACTGATAAAGCTGAGGGTCATGGAAATTAAGTAAATTGCCCATAGTCACGGTGTAGGTGCCAGAGCCTGGAGACCAACTCAGATGCTTTGAGTTCTCAGTTTCGCAATCTTTCCTCTGTACTCCTTTCCTTTTAAAGCCCCGCATGCAAATTGCCTTCCAGAACCTTCCACGATGAGTATACCATTGCCATACCTTAAGTGCATTCCTTTTCTATTGACTTTCGCTAATGAAATCAGATGCACTCTCATTAACCCTGGAACGATTTTTAATCTCTGAGAACTAACTCTTTTTTCTCATAATACATCCATTGGTCATGGTTGGACCGAGGCTGTGCCGAAAGAGGAAGGGGTAAGACTTTGTTGTTCCTGTCCTTTATTAACTGCCAGTTGTATGCTTGTGCCAGTAAGAAGCCCAAGGAGCTCTGGACTTACGGATCTGTAACTTGTGGTCACTTCTGTTTGTGGAAGAAAAATCCAGTTATTCTGTCTCACCCTGATCCTGGAAATGGCGAAGGCCCAGATATCTTGACCCTGTGCTCCCAACCAATGGCTCAGTTTGTTGCATAAAATTAAAATAACCACAAATGGAATTTTTTGGTAACATCCACTTCATCCCATGTGCACAGTAAGACTTCTAAAAAGACTCCTGATGTGGTGCTCCTTCTCAGTTCCTGAGGAGTGTCATTATGCATTCCCCCGGCACAAAGCACATCCTCCATTTATCATCGACAGATAAGACCAAAAAACATCTCATTTCTAAATGAGAGGCAATTCTCTAATCAAAGCAGAGGAAAGACAGGGATCACCTAAGTCTTCAATCACCTGGCTCCTCATGTGGGGTTTCCTTTGGGGTGACTGGCTGCAGGCTGCTGCATAGTAATTGCATTTGACATGGGGGACAGTGGAGAGCTCATCTCTCCACCCCTGGCCTCTTCTTCCACCCCTGGTTTAGGTTTCTGGCAAACACACTCTTTGTGCATGTGTGTGGGGGGTGTTATTGTTGTCCTGGTGTGCGATTCTTCTCTTTAGAGGATTTGTTGCTCCCTGTTCAACCACATAGTTGCCAGGGCCATCTTCTGAGATGGGGAAGGGACCAAGGAATGGTTATGCCAAATCCTTCTCTTCTAGGATTTGGCCTCATTTCGGGGAGCAGTAGTCTTTCTCCCAGTCACCCCCAAACTCTCCTCCTGTGGGGACTTAGAAGGGTGCTTGGCATTTACACTCAGCCCCAATGTAAGGACTCCCAGGGGAGTCCTTTCCTTCATACTCCTGTGTGAATAGGACAGGAGGGACTTTGAAAACCACAGCTTTTATGGTTCTCACTTAGAGAACAGGCCCCACCAAGGTGACCTTCACAATGATCAGTCCCAATAGAGGAAGCTGGAAGACTTACATACTGCTTCTTTTATTGTCAGAGGTGCTGTAGGCCTGTATTCTTGCCACAAATACACGTACTCCTCAAAGGCTCGGTCTTGAAAGTAAAGTATGTTTTATTCCTGGAAACAGGTTAGTCCTGCACCATACGAGCAGCTTTTCCTTCTCATTCAGCAGTTTTAAAATATGTTGTGCTTCACTAGCCCTTCCAAGATCGGCTGGTCTGCACCTCACGCTGTCTGCCAGGAGAGCCTCATAAATGTCAAAACGCTTGTGTCTTTTGCCTGCCTTCCTTGGCCAGCAATTCAGAGTGTGAATGGCTCTACAAAGAGGACAGTCATAAATATGTCCTGAAGGCTTTTTTTTTTTAACTCCCAACTACTTCAATGATTACATGATTTACATCTCTTTTCAGAATATGGTGATTAATTCCATAATTGGTTAGTAGTATAACCATCCTTATTTAATAGACAGTGTTTATTTTTTAATATCAAAATAAATTTAATGTAATAATAATTTGATTAATATTAAATAAATTAGATTGTTTAAAGCATTTAACCTGATACTTACTAGTTTAAGTTATTGGGTGACTTAAGGTCGTGAACTGTATCCACTCCAGGTTTTCATTATTCTTGAGAAGATACATAGGTGGCAAGGAGCACCATTTTATACATGGAAAAGTAAAGGCTGAGGGGAGTTAACTAGCTACTCACAAGATTCAGTAAAGGATGAAATCTGAAATTGCATAGGAATTCTGCCCTCTAAATACTGCATGTATTCTGGGCACTTTAGCTTTACCAGGGTCTGTCGACCATGGTCCCCAGGGCCAAATCCAGCCCACTGTCTACTTTTGTATGGCCCGTGGGCTAACAGTGGTTTCTACATTTTTAAATGGTTAAAAAAATCGAAGGAAAACAATGTTACGTGACACATGAAAATTATATTAAATTCAATTTTAGTGTTGAAAAATAACGTTTTATTGGGACACACATGCCCATTCATCTACATGATTGACAATGGCTGCTTTTGCATCATAATAACAGAGTTGAGTGGTTGTGAGAGAGACCGCATGGCCCACAAAACCTGAAATTTTTATCCTCTGACCCTTTAGAGAAAAAAACTTGCCAACTTCTGGTCTACATAGTCACTCTGGTTTTGTGGTTTGAGTTTGGATAAAGGGACACATGGCTAAAATCTCACCTATTTGTCAAGCATTGTATTAGACACTCGACATTGATTATCTCCTTTTATTTCCCAATAAACTTGGGTAGTTCTGTCATCCCCATTTTACAGAGCAGGAAAAGGAGACATGGAGGAAATAAATAAACAATTTTTCTGAGGTCACATAGCTAATGAGTGAAAAAACTGAGATACAAGTATGTTCTGTCTGATCTCAGTGTCCTGTGCACATTATACTCCACAGCTCCTGAATTTTGTTCCATCCCTGGGTGAATAATTTAGTTAGAGAATTTTGTCATATATGTCTTAACAGCTGACACTAAGTGGCATCTCTCACACATTGTGAAAAGGGCTGAAGGACACTGGGTTCCTCCCTCCATACTGCTTGTGGAAATTCTTTAAGCAAGAAATTTCCTGGATGCTTAGCATTCCTCTTGGAAGTGGGTTTGTGTGCCTGGCTTCTCAGCCATCTTGGCCAAGTGTCTGGGGGAGTTTTCATGGTAGCTTCCCCTTTCCCTGCGTGTGCCACCTGAGGTCCCCCCACCTGAGGCCATAGGATAGCCCCCTCCTTACAGCTGGGCTGAGGGCCCCAAGCCAGGAAAAGGGGGCTTAATTCACCATGAGGCTGTGTGTACAGTTCAAGGGTATATTCTGCTGGTTTTTAATTTGTCATTGTTGTTCAGGCTTACAAGGAATGGAAGATCATTTCTTCATTTACGCCTTCATCATCTGACTCCAGAGAGGAAAACCGACCACTGATTGAAGTGCCCCTGAAGAAACCCAGCTCCTCCCAGCGTCGGTCTCTCATGGTGAATCCAGAAATGTACAAGGTGATTTACTGCCATTTGTCCACATGCTTATTTGACACGGGGGTGGGGAGGGGGGCGGGCAGTAAACAAGGTTTGTATGAGAAGATGAGGTTAAAAATAGAGCCCGGCACTTGACTGGTTTTCTTGTGCATCAGCACTGGGGAGTGGAGGATGGGAGTGGGCATGGCAGGGATCTCAGTGTTGGCAGACGCTCTTTTCTCAGCAGAGAGTGGGGCTTGATGGGTGGGGCACTGACTGAAAGTGAAAGGGGGAGGGTTGTACCTTCTATTCACCTTTGGAATTCAGCTCTCTTCAGAAATTTTGAAGTTGCTGACAGGGAGCTCAGACGTGAAGTCCAGGACAATAATTCATGGAGACTTGTATACCAGGCTTGACTATTATGAGGGAGGAAAAAATGTTTCTCTGCCTTTTAAGATTCCTCTAGCTGGTCTAAAAATTAAATTGACATGAAACAGATTAACAGAAGAAAATAAAATTTAGGGGCGCCTGGTTGGCTCAGTTGGTGAAGCCTCTGCCTTTGGCTCAGGTCATGATCCCAGGGTCTTGGTAGGGAGTCTGCTCGGCAGGGAGTCTGCTTCTCTCTGTCCCTCTGCTGCACCCCCTGCTTCTGCTTTCTCACTCATGCTCTCTCTCTCAAATAAATACATAAAATCTTTAAAAAAATGTTAAAAAAAAGAAAATAAAATTTAATTATGTATGTACAGGGAATCAACATAAACATGAGATTCCAAAAACAGGCAAAATGAGGTGTATCTGTCATCCTGAACCAAGGAGAAGGGGGTAGGGTTCTAGGGCTTCAAAGGGAAAGAAAGCAATTCACAAGAATATGAAAAATGTTAATGTTTGGTAAGCAGATGTTTGCTGGGCCATCCAGATCAATGGGACACAGGGGAGTTCACACAAACAGACTTTGCTATGGAGCTCCCTGTTTAGCACCCCTAGTTCATATATACTACAGTTATCTATGGTGATTGCTCCCTTCCTAGAGCAGGTTCTCTGTCTAAATTCTTTTAGGAAATCAGGGTGAAGGTCAAAGGTTCTTTGTGAACCTTTTGTTTCTTAAAAATAATCGGCCTAAAATAATCCACATGCCAAAGAGATGGAAGTCCACATTTTGGGGTGGCAAATTTTTCTCCACTACGCTGTGAAGGGACCCAGCTTCCCTTTCCCTTCACATCGCAGCTGCCTCACTGAGAATGAGGCTAAAGCTGAGCAGTTCTGCAGAGTTCTTGACTGAGGGAGGTTGATGGAGCCTCGGGAGAGTGAAAATTGAACAAGTAAAACGAAAAACTTTGGGGAGAAACTACTGCCCTAGTTTTATGTCTTGTACAAAGTACAAAACAAACAGAATAGCAGTTATCAGGTTATTTCGGTAAGTGCCTAGAAAGCTCTACAGAAATAAAAGTTAAGGGGCGCCTGGGTGGCTCAGTCGTTAAGCGTTTGCCTTTGGCTCAGGTCATGATCCTGGGGTCCTGGGATCGAGCCCTGCATCGGGCTCCCTGCTTGGCGGGAAGCCTGCTTCTCCTTCTCCCACTCCCCCTGCTTGTGTTCCCTCTCTTGCTGTGTCTGTCTTTCAAATAAATAAATAAAATCTTAAAAAAAAAGAAATAAAAGTTAAATCACTGCCAAGCTATGCAAACCTCTAGGTAGCCACACATCCACTCCTGTTTGGAAATGTGCATTATTTAATCAAGTAGGCCCTCTCCGTGTTCAAGTCATAACCCCCTTATATCTGCAGCCCTCAATCATGGCATAAGTCATGAGTAATTTTGTACTAATGATAGTGGTCATAGAAGTGTATGACTGGCTTAATTTGTAAAAATAAGGTATAGTAACTGTGTAAGATGTAGCCATTGGGATAAATTGAGTGAAATGTACATGGGACCTCTCTATACTATCTTCGTACCTTCCTATGAACCTATAATTATTTCAGAATTACAGCCAATAAGGGCAGTCCTATGCTAATGTTTCTCCCTTGCTAGAGCTTCACTTATCTGTGCCGAGGCCGCAGTGAGCCTCCTGTCCTGCTCACGCTTCTGCTATACTGAAATTTGGTTTTTGTATTTCACCAAATTGAAGTGTATCACGTTGAAGCTCTAGACAGAAAGTTCTCCATCTTTGTCCTCAATTTAGCTCCTCAATGGAGAGCTGAAGCAACTATATACTGCCATCACACGGGCCCGGGTTAACCTCTGGATCTTTGATGAAAACCCAGAGAAGCGGGAGCCTGCTTTCAAATATTTCATGAGAAGAAATCTTGTCCAAGTTGTGAAGACAGATGAAAATAAAGGTAAGATCTCATTAAGATATTCTGGCTGTTGGATACAAAACATGTTACTCTCATTTAAATAATAATCCCCCCCCAAACAAAACAAAACAAAACGTTACTCTCAACTTCTTCTTATGGTCAGGTATAAAGGATATAGATTTTGAAAGCACTTTCTTTCCTTTCCACATTTCTTCTGAGAAATGAGAGTTCGTATTTACTGCTAAGGTGTGTGGGAAAGTGTGGTTGTAATGGGAGGGGGGAGGTTAATACCTTCAGGGAAGATTTATTATTGGTCCTTTAAATGTGAGGGTCATGGCAGGGGCCTGGCTGGCTCAGTCGGTAGTGTGTCTGACTCTTGATCTCAGGGTCGTGAGTTCAAGCCCCATGTTGTGTGTGGAGCCTCCTTAAGAAAAAAAAAAAAAGTGAGGGTCCTGGGCGAGGTTGAGAAGAAATAGGCTTTGTTGGGGGAACACAAGTTGCTATGGTCTTTGGACAGCTGACTGGCAGTATCTATCAAAATAAAAAATGTGCTGGGTTAAAAGTGACCCAGCAATTCCTGTTCCAGGAACCTATCCTAGAGATGTTCTTGTAATAAAATCTCAAAGATACATGCACAAGAGTGTTCCTCACAGCCCCATTTGTAATTATAAGAAACTAAAATGACCTAAGTGTCCAGCAGTGAGGAACTGTTCTTGGGGGCTGCTCTGGTCCTAGGACTGGTAAGTGCGGCTTGTTGAGGAAATAGGGACACCTTTCACTTTTCCCCTTCTGTGCTGTTTGCAGTGTTTAAAAAGCCAAACCAATATTGTGTGTTGTTTTGATCACTTACTGGCTAATTAAAAAAATGGAGTGCAGATCTCCTGATAGGATAACTAACGGGAGTAGTCATCAGCCCTTCATAAAGGAGAAAATTGTTGTCCTTCTTATGGGTTAGCCGTTGAGTCGGCTCCTCCAGGCTACAGTTAATTTCTCTACGGATAGGGGAAAGTGCAGGGCTCAGCCACTGTGCAGGGGTCTGCTGCTTTCCTGAGCATTTTCTGGCCAGTTTTATGGAGACTATTTCTGGTGGCAGCCAATGGCTCAGTTGGGGACCAGGGTTAGCTGTTCTGTTTCTGGGCCCTGGCTGTTGGGTGTAATGGGGAAAGTTGAAGTCTTGGAATGAAAAAACCCTAGCTTCTCATTAGAATTTTCCACCTGTGCAGCCACGTGACCTTGTCCAGACCCACTTTCTCACCCTGGGCCTTCACTTCTTCAACGAAAAGGGAGGGGGCAGGCTGGCCTGCTGTGGTCGTTCTTAATCTCCCCTGTGGCGCCTATTCCTTTCATTCCCAGAGTAGATTCTGGCACCTGTTATAAGAGATCATCAAGATAGCCAATTTTCTTTCATTTAAAGATTCCGAATGAAACAAGATCACAATTTATTTTCTGTCTTGGTAGTGTTAAGAATACAAGAAAAAGGACAATCTTTTTTTTTTTTTTTAAAGATTTTATTTATTTATTTGAGAGAGAGAGAATGAGAGAGGGCACATGAGAGGGGGGAGGGTCAGAGGGAGAAGCAGACTCCCTGTCGAGCAGGGAGCCCGATGTGGGACTCGATCTAGGGACTCCAGGATCATGACCTGAGCCGAAGGCAGTCGCTTAACCAACTGAGCCACCCAGGAGCCCCCAAAAAAAGGACAGTCTTAAGTGTGTTGTAAGTTACACATGGTAACGTCTATGAGAACATCTGTTCCCACCGTGCAGGGGGAGCTGGGGATGAGCGGAGTGACTGTGTAATTTGGGTGTCTTTATCATCGTGCCGGCAGCATTCGCCTGCCCTATGTGGAGCTACCGGGGAGCTCCCTGTGAGGATAAAATGTCACCGGAGCACGGATAGCATGCACGGAGTCAGGACAGGAAGCTGCAAAGTCATCTTTGCACACGGCGCTGCAGGACATGGCAGAGGGCCGGTGAGAGGGAGTTTGCGACTTCTAAAGGAAGCTGGCGTGTCTGCTTGGCTGCCCTCCATTGCTCTCCATGGGCCGGGGTATCCTGGACCCCTTCGGCCCAGATTTGGCTCTCAACCTTGTGTTGGTCATCAGTCTTCCATATGCTTCTTGCAGCTGAGGCTCAGAACCTGCAGAGAGGGGTTGCCTACGGCTGTTGATGCTCGGGGGGCTGCAGGAGGGGTGGCTAATCTAGTTGCCAGCAGGCTAGTGTGACAACAGAAGGGCCTGACAGCAGGTGGTTGTGACATTCCATGTCCACCGATGGGGACGTGTCACATTGCTTACCCTGAGGGCAAAGTCTGCACGTTTGAAAATACTGTAAAACCCTGTCACCTTGTCTTCTGTGTGGGAGTTTGCCAAGAGCCACATGGCTCTGGATTTTCAAGGAGGAATTAGAATATTCTGTCTTCTAATCTATCGCTGTAGGAGAGGAAGGTAGACCGAAGATCAAAAACTGGGTAACATCCTTTCTTCCCTCTGCCTCCTCTTTCCAAAAGCCACAACAACCTGGCTTGGTAAGCTAAAATCCATCTTAAAATGAATCCTGGAAGGGGGGTGGAGCAAGATGGCGGAGGAGTAGGAGACCTGGATTTCGTCTGGTCTCAGGAATTCAGCTGGATAGGGATCAAACCATTCCAAACACCTACAAACTCAACAGGAGATCGAAGAAAAGAATAGCAGCAACTCTCTGAACAGAAAAGCGACCACTTTCTGGAAGGTAGGACGTGC